GAAGCCGGCGGTGGGGGGCAGCTTGAGGGAGGCTTTCTGGGGGTCGCCCTCGGGGAAGAGGGAGCGCAGCAGCGTGTGCCGGGCGGCCCACATGGCCTGCGACAGGTCGCGGAACAGCAGGTCGTTGTTCTTCTCGATGAAGCCCGTCACGTTGTAGGTCACCTGGGTGCAGGAGCAGGGTCAGCGCCAGGGGTCCTGCCACCCCTGTGGGCAGGGGGGCGCTCAGGGAGGAGAGAGCGGGCAACAGAGGAAGGCAGCGCAGCCCCTGCCCCAGCCCGGCCCCGCAGGCAGCTCCCGTGCGAAACTGGGAAGAAGACCGGGGTGCCCCGGCTGCACCCAGGGACGGGGCCGCGGGTGCCCGTGGGTGCCGCAGACCTTGCCGGCGTAGTGGTGGATGCGGAAGCAGCGCTGAGGCAGGCTGAGGTCCGTGACGTGCTTGGCGTTCTGCGTCTCCTTGCTCTCGTAGTGCTTGTGGGTGGCGAAGAGCTGGTTCAGCTTGGTGACGAAGGTGTCCTCGTTCACCACGCCGGGCCGCAGGCACTCCTCGTCCAGCATGGCCAGGATCCCGCACTTGCTCTGCGCATTGGTGGACGGTGTCAGCCCCAGCCCACGCTGTGCCCAGCGCCAAAAAACGCCGCCAGCACAGACCGGGGGCTCCATCGAACCACCCCAGCCAGGGGTCCACACCAGGCTCAGCCCCAGCTTGCATAAGGTACGAGGGAGGGGAGCTGGGACCCCGACCCGGACCCCCCACATGTTGGTGGGAAGCAACTCACGTTCTCGATCAGGTCGCAGATGATGCCGTTATCAAAAAACTCCACCGGTGTCCACTGGATGCCCTGGGAGCAGATGGGGGTCAGACACGTGGACCCCCGGACACGCGCCGCGTGGATCCCGCCCCCACAGACACCCCCCAGCTGATGTGGGGCAGGAAGCGGATGTCCAATTGTGGGGACAGGGATCCCGAATCCCTCCCTGCCTTCCTGCTATTGAATCCTCTCCCGGCAGGGAGCGGGGTGAGGAAGGGACGTGCTGTGGAGCCGTCTACGGCACTTCCCCATCCCCGTCCCACCGAGGCTCCTCGGGGCCACATCCAGCCTGAGTGCCATGAGCCAGGGGTACCTCTCGGACGTATTCCTCCTGCTCCTCCTTCAGGGTCATCAGGATGAAGATCTGCTGCAGCTTCTCATTGCAGTAGTTGATGATGAACTGCTCGAAGCCGTTGTCCTGCGAGAGAAGGGCCCCGAGTGGCAGGTCCATGCTGGAGCCCCCAGCCCTGCCCCACGCTCCCCCCAGCAGCAGGAGGGGACCCAGGTGGGTCCTGCTGCTCACCTGGAAGATCTCAAAGCCGTAGATGTCCAGGACAGCCCATCACCTTCCTCTGCTTGCCCGGCTTCACCTGGGAGACGGCGGCGGGGTGCTGAGCCACGTCCCAGCCCCGGCTGGGCAGGGGAGGGGACCCGAGGGGGGGGCAGTGCCCAGTGCTCACCTGGATGCTGGTGTTGATGCGGTTCACCAGCCAGTCGAAGAGGCGGCTGTAGATGTTCTTGGCCAGCGCAGTCCCGGCAGTGGTAGCCCTGGGGCGAGGGGAGCAGGGCTCGCAACAGATCCCCGGGGGGGGGCCTCCCGGGGCGTGAGCCCACAGCGGGGGGGGGGGTGCCAGGGGCAGGGGGAGAGGTGCCACTCACCTGGGCGACGCTGAGGGCGGTGAGCACGGTCTCATCCCGTGCCTTCACGGTGCGGGAGCACAGCGCCTGCTCCAGCGTGCTGGGGTCCAGCTTGATCAGCTCGCAGATCTCGTGCAGCTCTGTGGGGGGCTGGGGCTGAGTGTGGGGGGGGCCCATCCTATCCCATCCCGTCCCATCCCATCCCGTCCCACCCCAGGCCCTACCCCGCGGCTTGGCGATGCTGCAGGCCTCCATCCCGCTGGCCTGGTAGCAGCTGCTCAGCTCCACGTTGCCCAGCTTGAGCACCACGGCCGTCACCTCCAGCAGCGCCGTCACTTCGGCGGGCGAGAAGCCGATGACCGCCATGGCATCCTGGGCACGGGCAGGGGCAGCTCAGGGGATGATGGGGGCGGCCCCAGGGCATTTAGGGGTGGGGGGTGTCATGGTTTCCCAGCCCCCGTGCTTCCCCAGCCGTACCTGCATGGCACGGAAGTTGGCTGCGTCGTCCATGCCAGGCAGGTTGGATTTCTCCCGGTTCAGGTAGCCGTAGTGCTGGGAGCCCTGGCGGAGCTTCAGCTGCTCTGGGGGGGGGGGCAGAGGGGGTTCAGCCACAGTCCCCCCCCCAAGCCCATGACCCCCCCTCTCTCCCCGAGCCCCCCATGCTGGGGGCTCAGACCTACGGAGCAGCTGTGGCGAGCCACCGGCCAGGAGCTGGTAGAAGATGTGGAAATTCCTCTCGCCCTTGGTGTGCCGGACGATGCGGGATTTCTCCAGCAGGTCTGCAGGGAGGGGGGAGCGTCACCGGGGCACGGGGCCGGGACCCCGGTTTGGGGGGGGGGGGGACAGTCAGTACTCACAGTTGCTGATGACCCCTCCCAGGGGCTCGCCCTTGAAGTCGAACTCCACGTCCATGTATTTGCCCTGAGGGATGGGGCTGGGGTCAGGGCCGGGGACCCCGCAGAGAGCGGCAGCCCTGCTCCCGCGCCCCCAGACCCCGCTCCCTGCCACCCCCTTCCAGGTCACTCACGAAGCGGGAGGAGTTGTCGTTGCGGATGGTTTTGGCATTTCCGAAGGCTGCGGAAGGAGGACAGGGAAATGCAGCAGTGGTCGGGAGGGGTCGGGGAGGCTGAGCCGAGCCCCCGGGGTGGGCGCAGGGTGCGAGGCGCTTACCCTCCAGCACGGGGTTGGACTGCAGCAGCTGCTCCTTCACCTTGTCCACCTCCTCCCCTTTGCTGCAGACGGCCGCCACGTAGGACATCACCAGCTTGCTGGCCTCTGCAGGCGAGGGGCCGTTGGCACCAGGACCGTGCTTGCCCGTCCTGCTGCCCCCTCACAGCCCCCAAAGGCCCCGCTGGGCGCCCAGCCCCTACCTGTCTTGCCAGCCCCGCTTTCACCAGTGATGAGGATACACTGGTCCCGGTCCCGGTCCCGCAGGGAGCGGTAGGCATCATCGGCGATGGCATAGCTGGGGGTGAGCAGGGGTCAAAAGGGGGCTGGAGGGGACCCAGGGGCCTTCAAGGGGTGCTGAGAACCCCGGCTGTGGCTGTGGGGCCGCCCTGAGTCGACTCCCCCAGCCCCCGAAGCCTTGGGACCACCGCGCGGGTGAAGCCCTTAGCGGGACCGAGGAGGGTGCCCGGTGCTCACATGTGGGGCTTCACGGCGAAGAAGTTGCAGTTGTTGTACTCCTGCACCTTCTCGGGGGTGTAGATGGGCAGGGGCCGGTAGGGGTTGACCGAGATCACCACATCCCCGATGTAGGTCTGCGGGCAAGCGGGACGGCGCGTGAGCACTCACCCAACCGCGGACCCCGGCGCTCCCCCTCCCACCCCATTACAGCCCCCTGCAGCCCCCCGGCCCACAACCCAGCCCCCGCGGCCCCGTCCCGATGCCCACGTAGATTTCGCTGCGGCGGAAGCGCTCCTGCAGGGTGCGGAGCAGGGACTCCTCGGTCAGGGGGTCCAGCAGCACCAGGTCCCCGACGGCCTCGGCGTCCAGCAGCGTGGTGGCGGCTTCCATGGCCGGGTGGCTCCAGGGCACCTGGGGCAGAGCAGGTGGGGGCTGCGGACCCTTCCCCAAAAACGCCTCCGGATCTCAGCAGCCCCAGCCCCAGGTGCTCCTTTGTGGGGTCTGGGGGGGTTTCTGGGGGGGGGGGGGTCGCTGGACGCCCGGCTCCTGCCCGCTGGTGCTGGGGAAGCGAGGAGCCCGGCCAGGAAGCCGGGACACCTGGGTCCTATTCTTGTGGCAGGGATGAATTCAGCCTCCGCTTCCTCCCTTCTTCCTGGCAGGGGGGAGCCGGGGGCGGGCAGGAGCCGGGCCGGGGGCTGGGGGCGCTCCGCACCCCGGGGCTGTTCCGACCCCGCTCCACCCAGCCCCAGGCTCCGCACCCCGGCGACCTTCAGCCCCGCTTTACCTTTCCCTTTCCAGGGCTGTAAACCCAGCCCCGCTGCCGGGGCCCGGGGAAAGTTCACGGGCGGCGAGGTGGGGAAGGGGCGAAGGGGGGCGATGGAGCCCCCCCAAACCGGGAGCAGCCTCCCGGGAGGACGGGAGCGGCCGGGACGAGGCTCCGCAGCCTCCCCCCAGACCGGGCGCCCGGCACGGACCCCCCCAGCGCTGCTGGCTGCGGGACCCCCGGGGCGAGAACCGGGCTTGCGCGGGGGGGGACTCAGAGCAAAGCCCCCACCCCACCCCACAGACCCCCTCCCGCAGCCCCGGGGCAGCCCCGCGGTGCCGGTTCCCGGGGCTCCCCCCCACGCCGGTGGCCCCTAGGGACGCGAAGCCCCCCGAGATGTGGGGTGGGGGGCCGGGGTGCTGCCCCCCAGCCCCATCCCCGGGGGATGCGCAGGGGCCGGGGACTCACCTCCCGCGGGCAGAGCACCGGCTGCTGGAGCTGCCGAGCCGGGGCTGCTCCAGATCCCGGTGCTGGGGCTTGGCACCGGCCGGCCCACGGGGGGGCGGGGGCCCAGGGCCCTCCCCCGGGCACGGAGCCCGGCCGAGGGCAGGGAAACTGAGGCACGCAGCACCCCAAAGCCACCGAGCCCCTCTCTCAGGGTCCCAGCCCGCTGCTGTGCTCGCGGCAGGAACAGGGAGAGAAATTTAATTGTGGTCAGGGAAACAAAGGGAGCTTCCTCCCGGGGCTCCGGGAAACGGGGGCAAGGTACGGAGCTGGCAGGAACCCGGCTTCTCCTGGGGTGAAGGCACCCGAACGGAGCCAGCAGTGCAGGGGTGCTGCCTCCAGTCCCCCCTCCTCGTCCCCAGGCACTGGGCAATGTCCTGGGGCCAAGCCAGCTCCCATGGGTGCAGGAGGGGTGCTGGGGGATAAATAGAGGCCCGTTATTTAGAAAACATACCTTTATTAAAAAATATACTCAGACATCAACCTGCATTAAGCACGCCAAGGGGACAGAGGGAGGCAGCAGCAGAGGCTGCTCACACAGGGGTAGAGCTCAGTGCTGAAGCAGAGCGAACCAGAAATAAATCAACAGCATCAGCGGGGGCAGCAGCCGTGGGCAGTAAGGCTACGGGAGGGCAGGCTTATTGCAAAGAAATCGTGGCATAAAGACCACGCAGACACCGGGGCTCTCTTAGGATCAATAACTGATGACATTATTGATGACATAACTTCAACGTCCCCTTGTTGAGAGGCTCCCTTCTTGCACCCTTTGCTCTGCAGCAGTACTTTTTCACTATTCTTTGGTCAAAAACTTTGCCTGGAAGCAGCAAACACCCAGCAACGTCCATGTAACAGCAAGGCATCTCCTGAACCACCCTTCTAGAAGTTCCTTCTAGACACTTTACATTCCTCCTGGCCTCATCGTTGAGTCCAATGTTATCACCAACCATGGAGCTTGTCGACCCCCATGGCCACACTCCCACAAGAAGTTGCATAGATTTGGCCCCCCAAAGAAGGGGTGAAGAAGCCTTCATCCAGGCTTCTTCACCAGGCCTCCTGCCCTGCACTGGCCGTGAGAGGAACGTGGTGGGGACGGGGCTGAAAGCAGCAGCGTAGCAGCTCCTGCCCCCCCCCCAGTACATGCCCCTTGTGGGTGCACTCCCAGGTGCTGCTGCAGGAGCACGCAGGCGCCCGGTGCTGCCTGGCACCAGGAGGGAAGGGCACAGGAACACTGGCACCCCGCTGGGCAGGGTGCAGGAGGCACGGCCACACCGGGAGAAGGGGAGGCTGAGCCAGCACCCACAAGGTGCTGGGGGCGACCCGCAGGGCACCGGGTCTCACACCCAGCTCTACGACACGCACGTGGAGCCCCCTGCCCATGGAGCTGGGGCTCTGCCCGGGAAGCACTGGGGGATTTTTGGTAGCTGCAGGGGATTATGACAAGTTAGAGGCACAGGCTGAGCAGCTGCAGCCCTCGGGCACCTTTGGTAAGCACGAGGAGGAGGAGCAGCTGCCCCCGGGTGTGCTCGCCCCACACCGCAGCCTTGCAGCGGGCAGGTGCTGAGCACGCAGGTAGAGGCAGGATGGGTCCAAAGTTCTTTTATGAACGTGTCTCCTGCAGGCATCCGCACGCGAGCTGGACCTTTTGTTCCATCCCCACCCTGAAAAGTGGAGACGCCCTGGCAGAGGGGGGGGGAGAGGGGCTCCCCCCTGCCAGCCACAGCGCGGGGGCTCAGCGCACACGGGAGGCAGCTCAGTACCAAGGCCTGGGAAGGTCCCTGCCCCTCCGAGGTGCGCACCAGGAGGCACGCAAGCACACACCCCAAAAGCCAGGGTGGCTCCAGTCCAGCTCAACTCCAGCCCAGTGTCCTACACCTCGGCAGCAGCACAGACCCCATGGTCAAGGACAGGCCCCCTGCAACCCTCTGCCAATGAGAGCTGCGATGACAAGAGCTTTGGTGCTGGAACTGCCTGGGGAAAACGAAAAGTGCCAGCTCCCCGTATCCTCCTACCAGCCTGGCTCTGCTGCAGGGCTCACAGGAGCCCCGCTTGGGGTGGGATCAGAGGTGCTGGGCACAGACAACACCGGCTGTCCCCTGTAAACACGGCTTTGGGCACCACAGGTGTCAGGGAAGCAGGGTGACTCCAGCAGTTCTGCCCCTGGCCCTCCTGGGTCCGGGGCAGCTGACCTCAATCAGCATCCAGGCGGCTGTAGGACAGGGAGCAATTCCTGTAGTCCGCATCAAAGGAGTCATCTTCCTCCTCCTCCTCCTCCTCCTCAAACAGCTGCTCCTCAAATAAGCTGCCACCCAGGCCATACTCCTGCTCGTGGAAAGAAATCTCTCTGGAGGTGAGGTGAGAGGCGCCGCCCACGAAGTCAGCAAACCTGGGAAGAAGCCACCAAGACACGGCTGTGCCATCACGAGTGGCCTGCGAGGCCCTGGCGTGCAGGGAGCTGGGGGTGAGGGGTTTCAGTGCTCTGGGACGCCACACCACGGGCAGAGCCACAGCACAGAGGCTGGGCCAGGGCTGGAGCCGCACGCCCTGCTTCCACACAGCGCCCCGCTTACACGCAGCGGGGATCTTCGGCGCCTCCGCAGCCAGAGGTGGCAGCACAGAGCGGCTCAGGGCTTTCGGAAGCACCCAGATGAGGTCTCCTGACCGCAGGGTCGCGGGACGTTACCTCTTAGGAGACTGGATGCGGGAGACTGCGGTCCAGGCAGAGAAATCCGGGCTTCTGCAATAGTTTCGAAGCTCCTCGAGGGCCTTGCGTGTCTCCACCTCGCCCTGGATGCGGTACTCCTCCTCGGTCAGTAGGCGGGGGGGGCTGGGTCCCAGCCGGGCGCTCTGTGCTCTCCTGCCAGCAGCACAGCACCAGTCACTGCCCTCCCAGCCCGGACGGGGAGCCCAGCGCAGTCCAGACCCCAGGGAGCTGGGCCAAGAGGCAGCATTGGGCTGGAGCAGAGCTCGTGGCTCCCCACTCCCAAGGGAGGCTCCCACACACGAGGAGCACGGCGCTGCCCCACACCAACCCGGGGAGGAGGGGCACAGCCCGCAGCGTACCCACCCCAGCCCCAAAAACCACCAAAAATGCCCCAGTTCTGCAGCACGGGCTCCAGCCAGCAGCTCACCTGGCCCAAGCAAGGGCTGGGGTGCAAGCACTCACCTGTAGGCAGCGTAGGCCCACTGAAGGGGGTGGTCGAGGTGCTTGGTGCAGATGGCTATGAGCACCAAGGCCAAGGCCACGGGGCGGATCTGGATGCCCGAGTACATCAGCAGCAGGCCCAGGAGCTGCAGGGTCCAGGAGAGCAGGTTGATGCTGCGCTCGTTCTCCAGCGGGCCGTACCGGTAGCACACACCGAAGCTCACCAAGCCCACCAGCAGCATGTAACCTGCAGGGGAGCAGAGGGATCGGGAGCTGGGGCACTGCCCCGGCGCTGGGATTTGCCTCTCAGGAGCAGAAGCACAACGTCTGCAGCAACACGGGGGGCAGGAAGCCCCAGCGCTCCCCAGCAACGAGCCGAGGCTCTGGTAGGAGCCGCAAGAACTGGAGAGCTGGCAGGTCTGAGGGGCCCACGCTTACAGAGCAGGTACTGCCAGTAGGACTTGCAGATCTCCTGTAGGTTCTTGAAGACGAGCTGAAGCAGGTACAGGGAAAAGGACCAGCCTCCTACCAGAAGGAAGTAAACAGGACTTCTCTAGGAAAAGAGACGGGAGAATCAAGAGGAGCTGTTGGCAGAGGGTACCCGTGCCTGCCTCCCCCTGACTACCGAGCCTTGCTCCAGGCAGAGCCAGACCCACAGCCCGACACCCCGAGGCCACAAAACCCCACACGCTCACCAGAAGGGGCGTGCAGGTGTAGAAAGGGCTGCTGCGAGCAACCACGCCCCCAGCCAGCCTCACGCTCTCACCTTGGGCATGGCCTTGGACATGACGTAGAAGACGATGAGCAGCGAGGCCAGCAAGCCAACGCTTATCCCGGCTGAGTAGTAGAAGAGCTGGCTCCTGCGGAGATCACACGTGCACAAAGTGTTTAACAGCTTTTGGGATGCCCGTGCACAAAAACCCGCTAGGAGCGACCCCCAGGAACCTGCAGGCTGCGAGGCCAGCCAGGCACCGCACACCCCAGCGCCTGGTGCCAAGAGAAAGGCACCGCACATCCTGGGAAGGGTGAGGGGAATGGTACACAGCCCCACAGAGCCCCCGGGGCAGGCCTGGCGTCCCCTGGGCAGGCAGAGGGAGGCAGACGGGGATCCTCTGCCTTCCACAGCACGCAGACAAGAGCTGCCCTGCGAATCCAGCACGTCTCAGCCCCCAGCTCGCAGGGCAGAGGAGGGGACTCACCGGCTCAGCACATCCCCACAGAAGAACAACAACAGGCCCAGGAAGAAAACCAGGAACAGTTTAGGGTCAAATCCTGGGAAGAGAAAAAGAACAGGCTGGGAGAAACCCTGGCAGGGCACCCTTGGCGTGAGCTCCATCCCAACACACCAACAATGAGTGGGGAGAGGCGGTGCCTGAGGCAAGCCTCCGACAAGCGCCCTGTGTCTGTGACTCTGTGCCCCCCATTCTGCCCCCCGGGGACTAAGGCAGGCCTCCCCTGCGGGCCCCCTTCCCTTTGCTGCGGGGACTGGCCCTGCGCTGCCCTGCAGCAGAGCAGACGTACGCCGGGACAGCACGACGCAGTACGTGGTGCCGGCCTCCAGCACCTCGACCTTCAGGCAGGTTTTGTTGCCGTAGAGATCCACGTCGATGCTGGTGTCGTTCAGCTTCTCCTTCAGGAAGGAGAAGAGGAAATTCCACACCCTGAACTTCTCCAGCTCCCTCAGCTCCTCCTCGCTGTCCACCTGGGTGACTCGGACGCCCCGGCTGCTGTTGATGCGGATCTGCACACGGGGAGGGGGGGAAGCACATGTGGGCACCGCTGGGGCTGGGCCAGGCTCTGCCGGGTGGGGGCGAGGACCTGCCCCCCTGCCCCCCATCTCCCCTCTCACCTGCACCCGTGTCCAGATGTCGTGCCACTGCGGGGCGCGCGTGTTGGCGTAGCAGAAGCGGTGGGAGGTAGACCAGTAGCAGGCGTGGGCATCGTGCAGCTCGATCACGCTCTCCACCGCGCCTTCAGGACGAGGGGCAGAGCAACGGGCGCTCAGCAGCACGGACACGGCGCCGGGCATCGACCCCCGCCCGCAGCAGGACCCCCCCGAGTCCCTCCAAGCCCCCCCCCGACCCCCTGAGAGCCACCTGGAGACCCCCCCCCGACCCCACGGATCCCCCATTCCCCAAGGAACCCCCCCCAAACCTCCCCCAGCCCCCCGAGCCCCCCCCCGGGCCCCTCAAGACCCCCGGGGACTCCCCCAGGCCCCGGGACCCCCCCGGGACCCCCCGGGACCCCCTCCCAGACACCCCCAGCCCCCCCCCGCCCCGCCAGGCCCCGGGGCCCTCCGAAGGCCGCCCCCCGCCGCCCCCCATCCCCCGTGACCCCCCCCTCACCGGTCGCGGCCCCCTGGTCCTGGCGCTGACCCCGCCCCCCACCCGGTGCCGCCGCCCCCAGCAGCAGCAGCGCCGCCAGGAGCCGCCGCCGGGCCCAGGCCGCGTTCGTCCGTCCCGCCATGGCCCGGCCGCGCCACCGACTTCCGCTTCCGCCCCCACGTCCCGCCCCCCTGCCCTGACGTCACAGCATACTGACAGCTGTCCGAGCCTATAGGAAGGCCGCTCCGGCCTCGCCCTGCCCCCTGCCTCCCGCGGGGATGACTGACGGGGCTCTCAGCCTATCAGCACAGCGTGGGTTTAGCCCCGCCTTCCCGTTGCTAAGGCCGCCACCAGCAGCCAGAGCGGGTGGGCGGGGTCCAGCCTAGAGGCGAGCCCCGCCTTAGCAACGGCGCTGACAGACACTCGCTGCAGCCAATCAGCGCGCAGCCCGGCCCGGCGGCGTGCTCCCACCCCTCTCCTTTGATTGACAACCGGCTCCGCCTATCAGGGGGCGACACCGCGTTGGCTGGGTCGGGGGTCCCGGAGCTTCCCCGGAGCCGCCCCCCCGGGGACCCCCCCACCCCCATCCCCCCCCCCCGGGACCCCCGGGACCCCCCCGGTCCCCCCGTGCCCGGCCCCCGCCGCCCCCCGGTTCCCTCCCCCTCCCCCAGTGGCTGCCTCCGAGTGGGGGTGGGGGGGGGGGGAACCTTCCCACCCCCCCCATCCCCGGGACCCCCCCGCGGTGCCCCCCCAGGACCGGAGGGCGTCGGTACCGGGCCCCTACGGGGGTGCCGGGACCCCCCCCCCCCCCATTCCCCCGAGGGGGCGCCCGGTGCTCGGCTCCGTTCCCCTCCCCCCCCCCCCCCCCCCTCCAGGCAGGGGAGGGGGCGGCGGGGGCCGGGGGCGGGGAGCGGGCTCCGGGGGCCCCCCCCGGGCCGTGGGCGGCGGAGCCGGGAAGCGGCGGGGCCGTGGGCGGAGGATGTGCGTCAGCCGGGGGCAGCGGCGGGCCTGGGAACGGCCCCCCCGCTCCGGACGCCCGGGCCCGGGGGTGGGGGAGCTTTGGGGGGGCCCTGAGGGTCCGGAGCGGGACCCCCCGGGAGGGGCGCTGAGCCCCCCGCTGCCCCCCAGCCGGTCCCGGTACCCCCCCCCCCCGGGGAAGGAGGCAGCGGGGGCGGCTGGCGCCAGCCGCGCTGTAAATAAATAGCGGCGAGGTGGGGGGGGCCGGGGGGGGCCGCGACCCTCCCTCGGGGTGCAGGCGGCGGGGGAGCTGCTGGATTTCCCCCCCCACAGTCCCCAAAATCCTGTCCCTCTGCTCCCCATCTCCCCACCCCCCCCGGGACGGGACCCGCGGGGGGGTTCACCCCGGAGCCCACCGACGGCACCGGGCGCCTCCCGCTGCCCCGGGGGCCGAGTCCCCCCCCCGCGCCGGGTGGGTGCGGGGCTGCCGGAACGGGGCAGCAGCGCCCCGGAGCATCCCCGGGGCGCGCCCGGTTGCCGCAGGAACCGGAGATGCTGCGAGCGCAGCCCCCCCCCTTGCTGCCGGCCCTGCGGGACCCCATGGCCGGGGGACTGAAGGGGGGGACCCCCCGCATCCTCCGGGCACAGCGGGGGTCCCCCGGGCGCGGCAGGCACCGGGTGCGGGGTGCGCCCCGCGAGCACCGGCCTGCCTCGAGCAGCGCCCGCTCGGGAAACCGGCCCCGGTTCCCCGCTGCTCCGCCGCCACCGGCTCTCCCCGGCCCCGGCGAGGAGCTACCGGGGGTCCCCGCGCTGCTCTCCGTGGGGTGCGGGACCCCCGGACCAGCCGTGCGCCCTGGGCGCAGCCGATCCCCGGTCCCCCTCGGTGCCACCGTGCGCCCTGGGCGCAGCCTCGTCCCCCGGTCCCCCTCGGTGCCACCGTGCGCCCTGGGCGCAGCCGGTCCCCTCGGTCCCCCCGGTCCCTGGGGGGTGCCGGTGCCGGTTCCGCGGCTCCCTCCCGCGGCCCCCCCGCCGCGGCCGCCCTCGCAGCGCTCAGCGGGGGCGGCAGCCGCGGGATCCGCCCCCGGGGCCTCCCACGCCGCGGCGCAGCCGGGGCCGCTGCTATTTCACGGTACCGCCCGTGTGGGCGGCGCGCAGAAGCGGCGCGGCGCGGCGGAGTGAGCGCGCACGGCCCGGCCGCGGGACCCCCGAGCCCCCCCCTCCCGGGTCCCCGAGCTCCCAGCACCCCCGGTATCCCCGGCCCGTAGCGGAGCGCGGCCCCCTGCCCATGCCCTGCGGTTCTCCCCGGGACGCACGGGCGTAGCGGCTGGAACCGGCTCCAGCCCGCGGTGAGCGACCGGGGGGCGGCTGGGGGGGAGGTGGGGGCGGCGGGGGGGGGCTCAGGGCACCGGGGGGGGCTCGGGGCACCGGGAGGGTCGGAGCGAGCGGGGGGGTTGGGGAGCGGTAGAGGAGGGAGGGGTCGCTGGGGTCTGGGGATGGGGAGGGCTGGGACAGTCCCCGGGTACGTGTCCTGCCCCACTGCGGGGGTCCTGGGGGGGGCTGCTGGCGGCAGGAGGGGGGGTCCGTGGGGTGCTGGGCACGGGCCCCGGGAGGGAAAATGGGGGTGTGGGAGGGTGCCCCCCGGCCTGGCCCCTGCCCCACTTGTGTCCGTGTCGTGTCTGGGGAGCTGTGGCCACGGGGTCTGACCTGGCCCAAGGGGCAGGGGGGGCCTGGTGGGGTCTGTGGAGTGCCCCACTGCGCCCCCTCCCTCTGGGGTGTGCCCCCAGCCCGGGGACCCCCAGGCACCCAGGTCAAAGGGTGTGGGGTGCGCTTCTCCTGCGAGCTTGACCTGGGGGCTGTGGGTGTCCGTCTGTCCCTCCTGGCCCCGGCGTGACGCTGTCCGTCCCGCAGGCTCGCCATGGCCGTGCCCCGCACGCTGGGGGAGCTGCAGCTGTACCGGGTGCTGCAACGCGCCAACCTGCTGGGCTACTACGAGACCTTCATCCAGCAAGGGGGGGACGACGTGCAGCAGCTCTGCGAGGCGGGCGAGGAGGAGTTCCTGGAGATCATGGCGCTGGTGGGCATGGCCACCAAGCCCCTGCACGTCCGCCGCCTCCAGAAGGCCCTGCGGGAGTGGGCCTCCAACCCGGGGCTCTTCAGCCAGCCCGTCTCGGCCGTGCCCGTCAGCAGCATCCCCCTCTTCAAGCTCTCCGAGGCCGGCGGGCGCAAATCGCTCAGCAACGGGCACGCCAGCCCCAGCGAGGCCACGGGCAAGGGGGGCAGCAGCACAGGGACGCCCCCGGCCCGCAGCCCCACGGATCCGGGGGAGAAGCTGTCACCCTCGGCGGCACCACCGTGGCCGGGGAGGAGCACCCCGGAGTCGGAGGGTGGCGGGGATGAAGAGCCGGGGGGCCCCCCCTTCTCCCCAGGCGGGAGCAGCGGCGAGCAGCCGGTGGGCGCCGAGGCGTTGGAGCCGGAGCTGGTGCAGACGGTGGCGGAGAGCGTGGAGAGGCTCCTGCAGAGCTGTCCCCGGGGCGGCGACGCCGAGCTGCGGGCGCTCATGAAGCTCAACAAGAAGCTGGCCAAAGCCGTGGGGCACATCTTCCAGCTGGAGGATGGCGACCGGCACAAGGAGGAGGAGATCCGTCGGCACAGCGCGATCTACGGTCGCGGCGAGGCCCGGCGCCGTGAAGGCAAGCAGCTCACCCTGCATGAGGTGAGGGTCCGGGCTCAAATGCACCGGGAGAACACCGGCCCTGGTGCATGGGGAGGGGAGCTGGGGTGGCTCTGGGGCTGGCGGTGTCCCTGTAGGAGGCTGGGGTGGGGGCTCCACCACGCAGGGGTGCAGGAAGCCGAGGTCGGCTCCTGTCCGGGCGGTCTCTGCCTGCCCGGAGCCCTGCGGTGCCATTTGCTGGGGGTCCTGCTGGTGACCGACTGGCTCCAGTTCCTGCTGACACCCGGGCCTCTGCCCACAGCTGATCATCAACGAGGCGGCCGCCCAGTTCTGCCTGCGGGACAACTCGCTGCTGCTGCGGCGCGTCGAGCTCTTCTCGCTCTCGCGGCAGGTTCGCGCGGGAGAGCACCTACCTGTCCTCGCTCAAGGTGGCCAGGTGAGCCCAGTGTCCTCAGGGGAGCTTGGGGGGGGGGGGGGGGGCAGCTGTCACCCCCCCTGCCCACACATGGGGTTTCCTCCCGAGCCCCCGAGTGCCCTCGTGGGAGCTGCACCACCACCGGTGCTTCCGGACGGGGGTGGGAGCCTGCAGCCCCCGCAGCCACGTGGCCGCGAGTTCCCCTTTCCCTTGCTCAGGCTGGTTCTGCCTGACCTCGGAGGTGCTGGGGGTGGACGGGGGGGGCAGAAGCAAAGCACAGCACTCGGGGTGGGGATGGGGATACAGCTGGGGGTTAAGGGGGGGGCACCTCATCCCTTGCACCCTTCCCCCAAGAGGCTGCTGCCGGTGCCGTGCTGGCTGCTGCGGCCGCGCTGCCTGCTTTCCCTTCGCTCTCGGGTCACTCCTTGCATTTTCCGCCCCCCCCCGGCTCCATCTGCTCCGAGGCCCCGCTCTGCTCTGCGCCGTCCCGCGGCACCGCCCTGCCCGGGCAGCCTCCTACGCCCGCCGTCACGGCTGGCGCTGCCCACAGAGCGTGGCAGGGGGCCGGGCGGGCATGCACAGCGCGGGGCCCCTGCGCGGCCGCCCCCGCGCCTGACGCAGCCCTTTCTGCTCCCTCCCACGCAGGACGCAGCCCGAGGAGAGCGGAGCCTCCGTGGCCAAGCGGCTCAAGCAGGAGGTGGGTGCGTGCCCGGGGCGAACGCCCTCGTGCATGGGGTGGGGTGCAGGCAATGGGGAAGGGGGGTGGGGGGGGTGCACGCGCATGCACGGGGGTGTTTGTGCATGTGCGTGCGTGCACACCTGCGAGCGTGGGTGGGAGATCGCCCACGCGTGGGTGTGACCACGCGGCGTGCTTGGGGCTGCCTGCGCCAGCTCGGGCAGGCGCCGAGGGGCGAGGGCTGGTGGTGCTGTGGAGCCCCCCCCCCCTTCCTTAACCCCCCCCCAAGAGGGACGGGGCCTGGCTGCGGTGCCCTGTGCTCAGCTGCACCTTCCCGGCAGGTGGGCGAGCAGAGCCGCCCGGAGCCCCTACAGCTGCCCGTGGAGCCCCACACGGCCCCGTACCGTGCCAGCCTGGAGGAGGACGCGGCCAGCCTCTCCGGGGAGAGCCTCGACAGCCACTTGCAGGGTGAGTGGGGGCTCCAACAGGCGCACCCCGGGGGCAGGTGGCGGGCGGAACCCCCCCAGCCCCCGGTGCTGACCCTCGTCCCTCTCCTTGCAGCAGCGGGGGCTTGTCCCCGGCTGACGCCACCACCCAGCGTGGCCCCTGACGTGCCCCTCGGCCTCCCCCCGCACGGGCTCTGGAGCCGCCACATCCTCCAGCAGACGCTGATGGACGAGGGGCTGCGCTTGGCCCGCTTGGTCTCGCACGAGCGCGTGGGGCGGCTCAGCCCCTGCCTCCCCGGGAAGCCCCCGGGACCAGGTGAGCCCCTGGGGGCTGTGGGAGGGGGGTCTGGGGGGGCTCAGGGGAGGGGGGCGGTCAGTGTGGGGTGGAGGGAGCTGTCCCCCCCTTTTTTATGGTACCCTGACTCTCCCCCTCTCCCTGCAGAGTTCGAGGACGGGCTGGCAGAGCGGGGCCCCCCGCCTCCCCCCGAGCCCCCCCGTGGCACCATCAAGGTGGAGCAGGAGACCAGCCGGCAGTGAGGCGCCCGGCGGGAGCCCCGCAGCCCCCCCGCCACCACTAACGAAGCAATAACGGGCAGGGGGCTGGGTGCCAGCAGTGCTGTGAGCGCAAGGTGCCGGAGGGGGCTCGGCCGCAGCCCCCCCCCCTCATTTCCCATCCCCTCCCGCACGGACGCTCTGGTTACCTCAGCCGCAGCGGGACGCTCCCCGCAGCAGCAATACCCTCGCCCCCCACCGCCCCCCCCCCCAGGGGCTGGGGCAGCCCGCGATGGACTCGAGCCCGCTGTACAGACCCCACACAGGGCCCCCCCAGCACCCGCCTGCCGCCGGCTCCCCCCCCACCCTGACCCGGGGGCAGCCACATCGCGTCCCCCCCCCCCGGCCCCGGCACCGCGTGGGGACAGGCGCTGTGCCACCGCCGCCGCGTGCGCCCACGTCAGCCCGGCCGCCCACGGCGGTGCCGGCGCGCGCAGCTCCATGCGCCCCCGCAGCACCCCCGCAGCGCCCCCGCAACGCCCCCACGCTCCAGCCGCCTGGCGCCCCCGCAGCAAGCACGTGCGAGCGCTCTGTGTGCACGCACTACAACCCCCCCCCTTGCCCCCCCTGCATGCACGCATCTCTGCTGTAAATACACTCCCCACAGCCCCCCCCCCGATGGTGCCCCCCCTCCCTGCACATGCCCAAGCACACGCGCACCCCCCCTGTATGCTCCCCCCCCCCCCAACATTTGTCTGTGCGTGGTCCGAGTGCCAGGGGGGGTCACACAGGAGCCCCCCCCCCCTCCAGCACCAAGCAGAAGGTGTTTGATGGGTGCTGGGGTCTTGCTGCCCCCCCCCCCCTCCTTTTCTGCGAGCCATGCCCAGCCCCCGGGTCCCCCCCCCCGTTAGGACTGTGTGGTGTCTTTTTAGAGCATTAGCGACTCTTCCTTTGTAACGTGTACAGTAGATTATTTATTTTGTTATTTTGGAATAAAACTTTATTTTATGGCTTATCTTCCTGCCCCCACTCCCCCAGGCTCCCCTCTCCCTGCCTTGACCCTCCTCCAGGCTGGGGGGGGGGGCCGCAGGGCAGCTCACAAACCCCACAGCAGGTGCCAGGCCCGGGTGGACGAGGGGCTCGTGCCCCCAGCCAGGCTGGTGCAGGGGGGGGTCCCTTTGCCCCCCCCCATCCCTTGGGGAGCTGGAGGCCCCGCGGAGTGCCGGGCAGGCGCGTTCAGCCCCCCCGGTTCCCGCTGCCGCCTCTCGCCCCCGCAGCTGACTCATCCCGGCCCCCGCAGGGGGGCTGAGCCCGGCAGCGTGGGCTGGGGGCACCGAGCTTGGCGGCGAGGCCGGGGGCACCCCCACGCGGGTCGGGGCCCCCCCGCTGGCAGCGGCAAGGGCAGGCAGCGGCTCCGTGCTCCAAAGTGCAGCGTATACACAGGTTGGGGGGGGGCAGGGTGTCACCCGAAGTGCTGCCTCCCCCCGGAAAATTCCCTCCCCTCCCCTGCCAGAGTTTGCAACCCCGGCGCAAATCGTGTCAAGTCCAGGAGCCCAGACGAGGCTGCGTCGGGGCTCACAGTCCCACGGCCCCCGCGGCCCCCTCACGCGTGCCCCGGCCGCACGCTGTCATCCCACCGGGACTCCCCCAGCCCCCAGCACGAAGCGTTGGGGCTGGGGTATCCGCTGCGCTGCAGGGGGGGCGTGAAGGGGGGGCAGAGCGCGGGGCTCTCCAGGGACATCTCCTGGAGGAACTGGTCGAACTCCGAGCTGGGCGGCAGGTCCATGCTGGGCGCCATCCTGGGGGAGAGCGGGAGCAGCGTGACCCAGGGCAGCCCCCCCAGGCCCCCCCCCAGCCCCCCGGTGCTTACCACCTTGGGGAGCTCTGCAGCGGCGCGTCCATTGGCGTGAACGGGGCCAGCTCGGGCATCTCCTCATCCCGCGGCTCTGGCGAGGGGCCTCCGGGCAGCAGCTGGGAGGCCTCCCCGGGCATGTACTGGTTGGTCATAAAGCTCCTGGGGGGGGCAAAAGGGGGAAAGGGGGCCGATGGAGGGGGCACCTCCCTCCCCTGGGGTGCTTGGCAGCCCCAGGACGCAGGAGAGAAGCGCTTGGTTTGGAGGCTGGAGCGCATCTCCTCGTGGGCAGCACCAGTTGGGCAGAGCACTGGGAGCACTGGTCAGCACTGGTCCCCCCCACCCCCCATGTGCATGCCCTGGGACCAGGGGAAGGGGGGGCAGGGCAGGGTGCCCCCCTCCAGCCACGCTCTTACATAGGGTTCCTGAAGGCAAGGTCTTGGCAGCGGGGCGGCAGCGCAGGGTCCATGACCATGGACGATGAGAGCATCGGTGAGGTGCTGTGGGGAGGAGCAGGAGCATTTTTTGGGGGGGGGAGGAGGAGGAAACACGGCCCAGCCATGCTGGGGGGAAGTTGGGGGTCCAACGTGTCCCCACCCCCATCGTGGCACTGCTCCTACCTGGGGAAGGAGGACCCCATGCCCTCGGGGACCATCATGTTCATGTTGCTCTCACCCGTGGGGTAGCTGGGCATGGGCTGGGAGCAGAAGGGAGCAGGGGGGCTGCGAGTGCAGATGGGGGGGGGGCAGCAGGTGAGGGCATCCTCCAGGGCAGCCCCCTCCCCTCCCAGCACGCGCCCAGAGAGCTGCCCCTGCCCCTGGGCGGGCACTCACCAGATGGGGCTGAGCACCGACTGCAGGTTCTCGGGGCGCAGCTCTTGCTGCAGCACGGGCAGGCTGAACATCTGAGCCTGGGGGGGCTCGGGGCCCCCCCCTGCAGTGCTCTGGGGCTGCTGGTCCCTGTAGAGGCACACCGACCCCCTCAGCACAGGCAGGACTCCTGCACTGTAGGGTCCTTGCTCACGAGCACCTCCCCATCTCCCCGTTTCCCCATTTCCCCCAGACAGAAACCCCCCTGGCCCAGCAGCGATGCTCAGGCTGGCTGTTATCACCTGCCCGTGCACACACCTCCATGGGGGCTCGCCGACAGCCTCCTGCCCCCACCCACCTCTCGCTTTCCACTGTCATCTTGATGGCGGTGGAGACGTAGCCGCGGCCGTCCTTGCCCGTCTGCTCTTCTGCGGGGAGAGGAGAAGCAGCCGTGAGCCACCGCCCCGCGTGGGACGATGCAGCGCCAGCCTTGGCAGCAGGACCCTGGACCCAAATCCCTCTGCTCCCCTCTCAGCCCCCCCTGCTCCCCCCACTCACTGTTGTAGTGGCTGCCAAACGCCTGGTCCTTGGGGGTGTTGGGGTAGAGGTTGCGGAGCTGCCCCAGGTCCCGGATGCGGTCGCCGAGGGAGCGGATGGACAGGTCCTTGGCGGAGAAGGGCTGGATGTTCTCCACCTGGCTGGAGCCTGGGGGTGACACGGCACGGGGCTCCACTGCCTGCCCCCCGAAACGCCCAGCGTCCCCGCGCCGCGGTGACCTCGCTCTCCCCTCGGCGGTGCTGGCAGCAGCCCCCGTGCCCCCGTCTCACCGTCCTTGCCCCGAATGACGTGAGCGATGGTGACGCCCCCGATCTCCGAGTCGCTGAAGCGGAGCAGGAAGGTCCCGTCGGGCTCCGTGCTCAGGAGCTTGCAGACGTACTGCTTGCTGATGAAGCCGATGATGAGCCTGGAGGAAAGGGCAGACGGACAGCGTGCCAGTGCCAGGACGGGACCCAGCACTCCCTGACTGGTCCTGGAGGAGCTGTGAACACCCCGCTCGGCCTCTCCGGCACCCACCTGTCCGACCAGTAACTTTTGAGGCATCTCTTGGTGAGGTCGAGGACTCCGTCAAACCACTGCCAGAAGGTGAATCCCCGGCCGGGCAGGATCTCCTGGGGAACGAGATGGGTGTGAGGCTCCCCAGGGCCATGCTGGCCCCTGCCCACCCTGGCCAGCCCTCCCAGTAACCTTGTTGAACTGGGCCCAGGAGACACTGCGGCTCTGGAAGTCCTCCAGGCTGGCACTGTGGTCATTGAAGATCTTCTGGGCCAGGAAGAAGTAGTGCTCCTTGAGAAGCCCCTTGGTGGTCTGCACCTCTGCCATGAACTTCAGGTTCAGGGTATCGCACATCTTCTCCCATGGCACCCGCTCGGCCACCACGAAGGGCACGCGGTCCTACGGCGGGGCCAGACAGCATCAGGACAGCATCGGGACAGCTTTGGGACAGCGCTTTGGGACAGCTTTTGGGACTGCCCCGGCCCAGCCCTGGAGTCTCCTCCTCCTGGAGCCGGATCCAGCCCTGGCACCCCAGCAGGTCCTCCCTCACCCCAGCCCCTCCCCACAGCCCTCCCTCGTGGCACTCACGATCTCCGAGAAGGCGTTGTCCCACAGCACGGTGGCTTTGGCGTTGTTGTCCTGGTTCCCGTGGACGATGACCACGATGGGCAGAGACAGGACCTGGGCACGGGGCGCCCTCCTCTCAGCCCGGGCTCAGCCTCCCACAGTCCCGAGGCCGCCCCAGGGCCATCCCAGCCCGGACCAGGGCTGCGACGGGTGGCAGGACCCGGGTGCCTGAGGGAGGCTCGGTGCTGCCAAGGAGAGGGGCCGGTACCTGGAGGTGCACAGTGAGGTTGCTGGGGCTCAGGGCCACGGTGGTGCTGAACAGGACGGCGCATTTCTCCTCCGTCACCGACTCGGACCCCTTCCGCTCGCAGCGCTTTATCTTCTTCAGCAGCTAGGGAGAGGAGAGCCAAGCATCACTCCCAGGCAACCAACAGCCCTGAGACCCCCCCACAAAGCCCTCCTGGGGTCCTCCCAACATCCCAGCACAGCCCCGAGCCTGTCCCGGGGTCGCTGTACAGCCCCTGGCAGCAGCACTCACCACGTTCTTGAAGTTGGCGCAGCAGGTCCCGCTGGTGGGGTTGGTCTCCAGGGCCACCACGTTGTGCATGATCTCCCCCGTGCTCTCGCTGGGCAGAGGCGGGGGTCAGGGCAGCGCAGCAGGAGCGCAGCCCCCTCGCCCCCCGCGCTGGCCGGCCGCTCACCTCAGGGTGTTGCCGTAGGCGCTGAGCGCCAGCTCCCGCGCCTGCTTCTCCGTCACCATGTCGGCCCGCACCATGTAGGGCTTGGTGGACGCCTTCAGCAGCTGGGGGCCCAGCAGGAACCGGACGCTCGCCTGGAACTTGGTCTGGGTCTTCAGCACCTGCGGGGGCTGTTTCTCCACCAAGAAGGAGCTGGGGGAACAAGGGGTGACAATGGTGACGAGGGCAGCTACCTCTGCCACTGGCCTCTGCAGATCCACCTTCTGCCCCCGCAGCGCCCGCCCTGTCCGTTACCTCTTGACCAGGCTGGATAAAACCTCGTTGAAGCGCTCCAGGAGCCGGGGCAGCAGCTCGGGCCCCAGCTCTGTGCTCGCTGCCATCACCTGCTGGTGCAGCTGGAAATAAACCTCGACCAGGCTCTCACACCTGCAAGGAAATTGCAGGAAAAGGGCGCCCTGAGCCAAAACAGGGCCACAGCAATCCTGGAGCCCCTCGGGCCAGCAGGGTCTCCGTTCCCTGGGGAGAAGACGGGGCAGGAGGGTTGCTGCGGGTCCCCCATCGCCACCCCACCTCTTCTGCAGCGGTGCTAGGTTCTCCTCGAAGACCGCCCCGTTTCCTGCCAGCTGCTGCTGCCTCTTCCAAATCTGGATCCTCTTCAGGACCTGCTGCTTGGCCACCTCCAGCTCTTTCGTGGCCTCCAGGATCAGGGTGGGCAGCTCCTGGGGGGCAGCACCAGCCACAGGGCTCTGCATGGCACCATGCCCCTGGCAGAGCCCGCGGCCCCTGCACTGGCCCCGTGCCCCCCCGAGCTGCTTCGTGCTCCTCAGCCCTGTCCCCCCCCGGCAGGGTTGCCGCCTTGCCCCGCTGCCCCAGCCCCACTCACAGCTCTCCGGAGCTTTCGGTTCTGTCTTCAGCTGTGGGTTCAGCGGCAGAGAGGCTGGGGAGGACGGAGCGGGGCGGCCCCAGTTAGCACGGGACTGCACCCGCACGGCGCTGCCGTTCTCTGCCGTGCCCCACGGTCGGATCCATCCCAGCC